ATATTTTTTTGCGAGGTTGTGATTAAGTAAAAAAAGAAAAATATCTTTAATATTCGAGGGTGCGTCACGAATATTGGGGGGTTGTCGCAACCCCAACAACCCCCGGTCGGGCCAGCCCTGCTTCTTGCATAGCGCGGTGTGTTTAGTGTGGTGTGATGTATGTTGTGCGCGATAATTTATTTTTAAAATAAACATAAAAAAGGTTATCTAGACTAGATCTTCTAATACTAAGTAATTGATATAGATAATAATACAATCTTGCTCAAATAAAACAAAAAATTAAAAAAATGCCAACCTCATATTTTGCTCATATCGAATTATCATATAATTAGTAATATATGAAAGGTTAGTATCTTAATACACTATACACCTACAGCAAAAACGAGATATTTCAGTGATATTGAACGTGCTACGATAATAACGAAAAGAGGGAGAAACTGACATGAATTAGAAATAATAGCACAAGAGTATATATATGTCCATCCTTAGCAATTAGTAACGCAATACCTGTTTAATATCAAATAAAACAAGAAGAATTTATGAAAGTTCAAAAGATCATGCAACATATATGACAACATAGATATAATAGAAATATACCTATTTCTCCAAAGTGCTTAAGCTACAACATCCAGATTTTCACTGTAAAATGTACGTATAGAAAGAAACTTATTCTATTAACTGGAACTCTTATGTTACTTCGTTTTTCAAAATCAATTGAACTGATTTTTACACTCCCAAAATGATACAGATGACTTTCATATGATCTGATATGTTTTCGAAAACTAAACTAGAACGAGAATTCAAATTCATATGATAGACTTTTCTTCACATATACATTCTATAGTCAAACTTTAGATGCTATATAGTTAAATATCTCAAGCGATCCAATTTCGTATAACCTCTCAATGATGGTATAAATGAAGAATGTGATTTTTACCTATTTTTAAAAAAATATTAAAAAATAAAAACAATAAATAGAGAAATCAAATTACACCTGTAGTTATGTAATGTACTGAAATACTTGTCCATTCATAAATTACTAATCATATGACAATACAGCATCAGCGAGATATGAGGTTGGCATCTTTAAAAATCATTTTTTGTTCGAAGAAGAATTGTTCAGTTCATTCATTTAAGTATATATCGAAAAAAAAGTAATGCTTTTAATCATATACAGAAAGAGTTTTTAGTAACAAAATGAATTAAAATAATAATGAAAATATTTTTCAACATTTTTCGTTTGAAAAATAATTATCTAATTTATTTGACATACAAATTATTCGACAAAAAAAATTGTATTATCAGTTTGTATTAGCATTGACTTTTCATCGAAAGAAAAAAAACAATTTATTTATAAATATGCTAGTATCTTTTTATTTTTTCTAACAAAACTTTCTTTCAATCAACACATTTGAAATCATTAAACGAATACGAATACTAAATTATTTTTTTTTATTTTTATTCTTTTATAAAATAAAATAGAAGAAAAAATTGTCATTGAATAAATCAGATAAATACAGAATGAAGTTTGGCAGTATATCTTCTTTTTCTTTCACAATGTTTAACGTTAGCTACAGTACGACATATAATATTTGGTGTACTAGAAAAAGAACAAAAAGAAATTATTATCTTTATTAAAACAATCATAGATGTTCTTTATCTAAAATAAAATATTATTAATTCATCAGTAGATTTTAATATGATATGAAAAGACTTTTCTTCCGATTTTCTTCTAAATGATAAAACAAAAATTTTGTCGCAAACAAAAAAAAACTAAGCGTCTCTTTTCTTGTTCATTGATATTATTTCATTTTTAATTTTTAAAACTAATTTCTCATTTATTAATAAAATCAATTGTTAAATAATATATAAGAATGATAAAAAATTCGTATTTATTTTTCTAGTAAATTTTTCACATATTAAATAAAAAATTTTATATATATTTGTTTTTTTGTTATAGATTCAAAATGGGCGATGAAAGTGGTGATAGTGAAAAATCAGATTCAACAATAAGTCCGATGCCAACATCAAATAAATGTAAATAAATTCTGTAGATCTTAAAATAAATTTAAATAAAATTCCAATTTTGCTATTTTAGTAAAAATAAATAAAGAAATTGATGTTACAGTGGGTGATGATGATGCCAAAATTAGTTTCACAACCATCAAAACTGATGGTCTTGGCCCATGTCATTTTTTTTTGTTAACTGGTTTTTTACAGACAAGATTTTGCTATTTAGAGCACACATCGAAAGATTATCCAACATCAATACATGATGCATTATCAACAGTAATTCAAATTATGAAAAACATTGCTGATGATTTACTACAAATGTTTACAAATCAATTTCACATGAATTATAATGATTTTCAATTTAATCAAATTCATACATTGGAGCTACTAGTTGGTGGTAGCGTACCATTATATCCTGATTTAATCTATAATGGTTTTATGCTTTTAAATAATCATGATACTAATATGGAAATTCAATATCATATTCGACAAAATCTACATCATTCAAAATCAAATGAAGAATTCTTATTATATTTAGTTAATGAATTAAAAGGAAATATAAAAATATTATCTCCAATTACTTATTTTACTTCTCAATCGTCTGAATCACAAGGTAATCAATTTATATTGTATGAAACATTCTGTAGCCTCACATGAAGATCGTATTCGAATCAGAAAATCTTTTTTACCACTCTCACAAAAATAAGCATCACAATCGTATTTTTTAGTTTTCATCTACAAACTTTTCAAACAATAAAAAACACATAAAAACTTTACTATCATCATCCTTAAAAACACCATATCGAAGTAATATATTCAACAATAATTAAATCATATAATGTTTGAACTAGATCCTCACCAAATAAAAATAACTTTATCTAAAGGAAAATTATCTGAAATAAATAAATGAAGATCAATTCGTAAGAGTGTAAAATTAAATATTATACCATTAGATGATTTTAATTAATGTTTTTTAATTAATTTTAATGAGTAGATTTGTTTTATTTATATTATTAGAATAAGTTCTGCAATAATGTTTTTATTATTGTTTATAGGTGTTTAGGTATCTTTAAATATTTTTTTTTATCTATGATTTTGTTCGATTTTAAGAGCGGAAAGTAACAAGGCTGATGATGCACCAGGAGTATTCATTATATATGATTATGAAACCCATTTTTGCAATTTGGGTATTGAATGGATTGGATCGAGTGAAGATTTTCCATTAGCATGTTTATATATGGATCTTAACAATAAATATGAAGAAGAACCAATTTGGGAAATACAACACGAACAAATTAATATGGCAGAAAGTCGTCTGGATCCAAAATCTACGGAATGGGAAAATTTTCATTATGCATTAGGTACAGGATTTTATCTTTTTTATTTAATTCCAAGGTTGTTATATGTTGTACGAGGAAATAAGTTTTAAACAATTCTGTAATATTTGTTTCTTATATCTGGTTTATAAAAGAGAATTAGCTATATTATACAGTATGGTATTAATTATTATCTTTGTTTTTGAAATGAGAATAGAGCAGAAATTTATAATAGTTAAGTATTGTGTTGTTGGAATTTGACGAGGTTTGTTTAGATGACTAAATGGAATTTTTATCGAGAGAAAGTAGAACTGCTTCTGGAAATGTTATAAATAGTTATTCGAATCAGTGAATATTTCAATCTAAAATTTCTATACTTTCAATTAATAGAAAAAAAAAATTCTTTGTTTTTTTTAGATTATGTTAAAAAAAAGACCAATTTGAACATATTGAATGTTTTACCAAAGTACGTATGAAGAAAAGTCTATTTAAAATGTTGTACTGATGATTCATATGAATGGCTAACGTAAGATACATTAAGCAGGTTGAGATAATTTACATCCGAATTCATTTTATTCATTGCTGATATTGTCAGTATGAATGTAAAGAGTACAATTGACAGTATTGACAATGAAAGAAGAATGGATTTTAATGAACAAATTTGATTCGATCCAAAACAATCTTGAAAATTATAAAATATCGTTTTTGCATATTTTTATTGAAAAGTTTTTCCGCATGTTATGAGATTAAGTTTTTCAATTTTAACAAAATTGTTCTTCGGCATTTTTCGCAGTATACCAAAAAAATGCATCACTTTAGGTTTAGAACTCATTTAATTGATCTACAATTTGAACTAGAAAAGATCTAAAAAGAAAAACTTGAGCAGCAATTGTTTATATTTAATGTTGACCAGTCTTATGACGAACTTTCCTAAGATCTTATCTCTTGCATTTTATTTCTTTCTATAATAGATTTCATAAAAATAAATGAAAGAATAATAAGAAAATTGATTTTCTCTTTTTAGAAACATCACATCAATTTCATTTGTTCAGGAATTTTCAAACGGTGAACTTAACGATATATTAATATTTTCTGCACGTCAGTTTATCATGGTTTATTTTTTTTCTATATGGTTTATATGACGTTATTCTTTTCTTCGATCATTAAATAAATGATTTTTTTTTAAAGTTGTAGTTCATATGAAGAAATTGTTTCATATGTACAACATTTAAGTGTTCAATATTCAAGAGCTCTTTTTCTTACTGCTAATATTGAAACATGTTCGGTAAAATTTTAGTAATTTTTATTTCAAAATAATAAATATTTTCTTTTTATTTTGGTAGAGTGAAGTTAAAAAATACTCAATTGGTGCAGAACCTACATTTTTGTTTTTTCGAGGTTGCAAACAAATTCATCGTTTGGAAGGTTTTAATAAAGAAACAATTGAAGAAACAATTAAAAGATATTACAAGATTGTTACACCAATAGATATTAAATATGTAAGCATGTAGTCTAAGACAGACAGATGGCTCTTTTTTCCATAAATATTCCACTGATATATCTTTTATCCAATCGGAAGTATTTTCCATTCATTCATTGTTTTATTTATTATTTATTTATTAAAGTCTACCAGTTTGACAAAAATTTCATAAATTATCTTTTTAATAGATTCATACTTTGTAAATATAACATTATTTGAACTCCTAATCCGTTCTAATTTAGATATTTACTCAAGGAAAAGGAATCATCATGGGTGCCAATGATAGACTTGTTAAAATGGAAATTGATTATTCATCTGTTGTTGATCAAAAACTTAAAGAATGTGATGAAATTATGAAAGTAAATTAAAACAATCAATTTGTAGATTATTTCAATTCTTTTGTTTTTAATCAATTTAGGATACAATTAAATTAATTGAAGTTCTTGATCGATTATTACCATTGGAAAAACAAACACGTACTGTATATCATTTCAAAATGAAACCTTTTGTTCTTGTTCTTCGAAAGAGTTTTCTTTTTTTTTAGGCAGCAGATACAATTTCCACAGGACGTGTTCTTGTTGCAATTATTAAATATTGTTATCAAGCAAAACAATGGGAACAAATGAATGAACATATAGTAACATTATCAAAACGACGTAGTCAATTAAAACAAGCTATTACAAAAATGGTACAAGAAGCTTATGAACTTGTTGAAAAAACACCTGATTTAGATACTAAACTTAAATTAATTGAAACACTTCGTACTGTTACAACAGGCAAAGTAAGAAAATAATTATAAACAGCAAAAAAAAATTTATTAATTAATTATTTAAAGATTTTTGTTGAAAATGAACGTGCACGATTAACAAAAAATTAGCTGATATTTATGAAAGTCAAGGTAAAACAAAAGAAGCAGCAGAGGCCGAAACGGGGAGAATTTTTTGTTCCCCGCCCCGCCCCGCCCAGAAAAAAGCTTTCCCCGCCTCGCCCCGCCCCGCCCCGCCCCGCCCCGACCTTAAATTTTTTTTCGCTTCCCCGCCCCGATCTTAAATTTTTTTTCGCTTCCCCG